AGGGTCTCTTTGTGGGATTGACTCAGACTAGGTTCTGCAGGAGGGCTCATCAATAAACAAACCTCCCTTTATGGGGTTTTACAGGAGAAGGGGGGTGGGAGGGAGAGAAACCAGAGAGGAAAGGTTTCTCACCAAGGTCCAACTGGAAACGGCAGCCAGTTGTGGAAGAGGGTTTGGGGTAGTGTGGGTACCATCTCAGGCTGGTTTCCAAACTTTTTATAAGCAAGAGTCCTTGGATGTAAATGCCCAAGAACTTATAAGAATCCTGGACAAAGTGAGGGTAGAAAAGAAGAAGTCCCTGGCTGGGATGTCACCTTTCCCATAGGTACTAGGATGCTAGCCTGGGAAATGGATAGACAGTAGAGTGGAACTATGGGATAGAGAGAGTGAAGGGCTCCTGAACCCTAGATTACGCTGCCCATTGACTTGGTATCCCAGGGAAGAGATTTTATGTCCCAGCACCCTCCAAGGGGAGAGTAAGGATGGGCAAAAGGGCTTGCTCACCTTCTCCAGGTTCATGTTGTCCACGATGAGGGTCTCCAAATATCGTCCAAAAGACTGGAAGGCTTGATCTGGGATGACTTTAAGTGGGTTGTGAGACAATTTTAATTCCTCCACCACTCTCAGCTTGCTCAGGGCAGCAATGGGGTAAGTGGACAACTGATTCTTGTCCAGGTGGAATTTCGCAAGGTTTTCCACATCGTCCAGGGCTCCAGGCTGCAGGGTGTTTAGGGCATTGTCTGACAGGTAGAGCCAGCGCAGGTCCTTGGCGCCCTGGAAGGCTCCTGGGCGCAGCTCTCGAATCTTGTTGCTGCTTAGCTGGAGGATGAAGAGGTTGACTAGGGGGGAGAGCAATCCCCGAGGCAATTCGCTTACCTTGTTGTGGTCCAGGTAGAGGTAGGTGAGCTCAGTGAGGTCATCAAAGGCGCCGTTGCGCAAGACCCGAATGTCATTGTTGGACAGGTACAGATAGATAAGCTGCTTGAGGCCTCGGAAAGCGCCGGCGGCCACTTCGCGCACCTGGCAGTGCTGGAGATGCAGGGAGACCAGGGCTGGGGTGGCTTTGAAGGAGTTAGCTGCCAGCACCGGAAAGTTGTTGCGCTGCAAGTTGAGCAGCCGGGTCTTCTCAGACACCTTCGGGATCTTGCGGAGCCCCACGTTGTCACAGATGACATGTTGCAGGTCCCCACCATGGCAGTGGCAGTTCTGAGGGCAGGCCTGCAGAGAAGGCAGGAGGCCAGCTAGCAGCAGGCAGAAGCCAACCAGGTGGGCTGAGGGAGCCATAGTCGTTGAAGTGCAAGAAAGGAGGCATAAACTGGTGGGAGCTGAGTCCTGCAATCAGTTGAGGTCCCCGCCCTATATATGCAGGATCCCAGACCGCAGACAGCATCAGGAGCCAACTTCCTACGTGGAGCTGTCGAGGCTTAACCCCCTCACGTCTGGAGATGCGTCTCCTCCCAGGATAGGGGGAGCCCTAAAGGCTCTGCCCAACTATCCTGGTTCAGTTCATCTCTGAACTGCTTTCCTTTGCCTTTTCTCTTCCCTATCCCATCCCGCAACAGAGCTGGCAATATGCCTCTTACTAGACGGGTTGAGGGTGGGACACGATGGGTCCTAGACGCCTCTTAATGGACCCGAGATTCCTTCCTCTCCAGATCCTACCCTAGGTGAATCCTGAGTCAGGACCTGCTGGAGGGATGCAGATAGTGGGCAGGTGCCCGGGGCGTATGTATGGGTCCGAGTCTGGGGTTGGAGAAGGGGCAGCGGCGAAAGGGAATGTATTTCTTGGACTTTTCCTGAAATTTGAGATCCACTCCCCCCTCCCCACCCCTCCTCTCCCTCCTCCTGCCTCATCCCCTGGGCCTTGCCTGGCGCCTAAGACCTTGCAGGGATTGCCGTCGGACCTAGTGGTTCTTAGCTGCCCACTAGGGCACTCAGTGTTAATAGAGCCCTTGTGCTGCCCAGACAGAACGTGAGAGTGGCTCCGGTGTCCAGCTCCCCAGCTAGCCTGGGGTGGGACAAACCTCAGAGTCTGCCGCACCCCTTGGGCAGCCAAACTCTGCAGACGGTTCCCTATCCTCCCCTTGAACCCCTCCCCTCCAGTTTGTACCTTTCCCAACTGCTTGTGGCTATAGCCACTTTTTCCGACAGCTGAATTTGGAAAAGCAGGAACCCCAGGGTTTGTTTGCATATGCAGATGGGCACACACAGAGCAGGTCAACGCTAATGACAGCTACTCATGTGCAGAAAGACACAAATAAGGACTTCCACACCCACTACCCATCCCACCACAGTTTGCAAATAAACTAGAAATAGGGGAGCCTTGAGGTGCTTAGCTCCCAAACCAGCAAGTGCTTTTCGCCGCCACATCCTAAACCTAATCCTGGGATCTCTTTCCACTGGGTTCTTTCTCGAGGTGGCCGGTCAGCGGGGAGCGACAGTGGGTTCATTCCAGGCAATGCCCACCTGGATCCCGGTTTCTGACCAGGACAAGGTTATCTGTTGATGGGGAGGAGTACTGGAGGTGGGGGAGAGGGTGGGATGTCTCCTCAAGGTTGTTTCCTGGGAAGCCTGGAAGTGATTAACAAGAATTGGACCGGGTCAGGCAATGCTGAGGGATCCCCAGGGATGCTGGGTTGCACTTGGGATGTGGAAGGCATCCCCTACTCACCCTCCCCAATTCCCTGCCAGTCCCCAAGATCTCCCTGTGCTTTGTCAGCCGCTGTGTCTGGACTCCTGCGGGCAGAGGGAAAGGCTGTTTTGTGTGTGTGTGTGTGTGTGTGTGTGTGTGTGTGTGTGTG